GCACTCGGCTGGCACTCGGCCCCCCGACGCCTCGCCCCCGCACCCTGCTGCCATCTGCGACACTGGCCCGCCTGCGACACCGGCCCCGCCTGTGACACCAGCCCGCCTGCGCTCGGCCTCTGTGCGCCGGCACTCGGGTGGGGTGACAGGGGACCGCGGGGGACGCCGTTTCACTTGAGAACGCCTGGAGCCCCGTCTCCCCTGTCTGTCGCAGAGAGGAAAGGGACGGCCGGTCACTGAGAACTAAATGACACGTTTGGCATTATTCCGCACTCCAAGCTGAAAACTTGCCCCAGTTTGCCAGGCACAGGTCTCAGCCGAGCGCCTGGCCTTAGACGGCCGCCTGCATCGTGACCTCGTGAGTAGACTGAACCCCCACTCCCCGCCCCGAGGCTCCCGCAGACACCGCCAGGCAGACGGGAGCACGTGGCCGGGTGGGGACCAGCCTCCATCCACGGGCTTCTCGACCCCCTGCCAGGCCCCCACCCCCCAGCGTTACCCTGTCTGTCCCCACAGGCGCCTACCCTCGGCTGTCCCTGAGCTTCCGGCTGAAGAGGAACATCGGCTACTTCATCCTGCAGACCTACATGCCGTCCATCCTCATCACCATCCTCTCCTGGGTGTCCTTCTGGATCAACTATGACGCGTCCGCAGCCAGGGTCGCCCTCGGTACGTGCCGTGCCCACGTCACATGGACCGCGTCCAGTGACCATGTCATTGCAGCGTGAAGAGACCTCACGGGCGGAGGCTCGGCTGCTGCTTCTGGACACTGGCGCCGCAGCCTTGCCCAGGGCGTCCGTGTTCATCCTGGCAGGCCCGTTTCCTGCACGAGCGCTTCGATGTGTTCATTTAATTATCAGGCTCCGATGTGAATTTTCATGCCCACGGAAGGGAAAATATGCTTGCCGGATATTTGCATAATAAGCCTATTTTTGACACTAATTTTAAAGCAAGGCCTAACGTCGCCTGCTCAGAATTATTCTGTGGCCAAGAAAGAAGACATGGTTAATTGCACATTCTTCTTTTTTTAAGTCAGAAAAAAATCGTCCAGCGTTGTAGCATATGATTGGAATTACACAATTTAATGAGCGTTAAAATAAGTGATTAGATTCTAAGTGATTCCCAAGAGGTCTGGTGGCCTTTTCTGGCCACTAGTGATTTGAGAACTGAATTATCAGCCGATGCGCAATAAATGTTATAGGTTCCAATATGATTTCTAATGTACATTGATTATTAAGGGAAGGCTTGTCTTTTCAGAAAGGTTATTCTCTACTCAGCTAACTATTACGAAACTCCATGGACAAAACAAGCGTTCAGATACTTCTTGAGTAAGGACAGAAGGGCCATCCTCCAGTCCGTTCCTTTTTGGATAGGGTTAACTTTAGTTCCTGAAAGTGGATTATCGACAACGCGTTTGAAGTCGATAGAATCGTCAACACATTTGTTGGTAGATCGGCTTGCAGAGAAGCGTGAGAACCCCAGGTTCCAATGATTCTTTTTTCTGTTTTCCATCTTTTCCCAGGACTTTTATGCCCGTTTTTCATTTTTTTTTCCCCAGGACGTGCGTACATCTGTGCGAGTGGGTGTGTGGTTTAGACCCACACGTACGTGACTTGCACGGTCAGATTCAAGATTAGATTTTTTTTCTCCTGTGAAATAGCACAGAAACTCAGGTCACTTTTTCTAAAAAAAAAAAAAAAAAAAAAAAACAAAAAAAAAACACTTTGAAAAGAAAGTATCAAAAAACTGGAAAGTTCTGTATCAGTGGTCATGAGGCCACGGAGAGACAATCTCTAGGGCTTTTCCATGGCCCGCAGAGTCCGCCCTGTGATGTCAGCCATCTCTATGGGTTTTTTTTTTTCTGGTTACTCTCTGTTGAACTATTTTCTCTTCTTATCACCTAGAAAAATCAGAGTTAGCGTGAGTCTGCACAGGCAGATCCAAGGTTTTCAGAGCCGTTAGCTTATGCAATTTCAGGGGCTCTCCTTAAGGAAAAGAATATAAAATACAGAAACATGCCATTCCTGTCCCCCGTCCCCCGAGCCTGGACCAGACCTGAGGTTGAAGCTCCGTGCGCTCCGCAGGGAGCCGGCCTGGCCATTTTGTCGTTACTGAGGTTGCTAGAAACACGGGCCCGAAGCTCCACAGCTGCCGGGCGTCGGCAGGAGAGAGGCGCCCTGGAAATTGGCTTCTAAATCGTGGAGGTGCACAGCTTCCACGGCGCCTCGGTTGGGAGCAGAGTGCTCCCCAATATTAAACAGATGCCCCGCCCAAAGTGGGAGGTCGTCGCCCAGCCTCCCTGCACAGCAGGAGGGCGGAGTCCACTCTTCCAGAATGACACGACGTTATTACTTAGAAACGCAAATCCTCCCGCCGTGGCTTCTCTGGGACAAAGCGGTGGGCCGCCCGAGTGGCCGGGCTTCGCCACCGAAGGTGACGATGGGTTTGACAGGCGTCAGGAGCCTGGGAGGAGTCGCAAGTGGCAGATCCCGGTTTCGGGGTGAGCCTGCGGCCTCCGGGCAGCTGTGAGGTCAGGGCCCAGCATCCGAGTGGGCAGGGGTCCCACGGGTCAGCGCTCGGTGGGATGCCCGCAGGCTCACCCCCTCCGTCCCACATTCTGCAGTTGGCTCCCTCCGACCGCTCAAGAAAAGGTGTGTGACAGGGTCACCGACACTCAGGAACCAGGTTCACGCAGGAGCCAGGGCGTGAGCGCATCGCTCCGCAGGCCAGTCACGGCGCAGTGGGCGGTGTCATCGCTCCATGGCACAGAGGAACCTCGTGACTGGTGCTGAGTGTCACGGAGATCTTAATCCAGCTGGCTGGCTCCGGGGTCCTCTCTCTTTGCGGCCACAGGGGACCCCACGGCGTCAATAGACGGCACGCAGAAATGAGTTACTTGGTCCTCACATGTTCTTAGGGACCGACCTCACTGTGTAGGGGGCATGAGATCATTCGCACGCGGCTGTCTATAGCTCAGCGTAGTGGCATGGGGGGGCATGGGGGGGCGCTGTGCTCGGCGCCCCAGCGTTGGCGAGGTCACTGGTATGAGTAGACGAGTCCTGAGCCCCTCACGCAGACTCGGAGCTGACATGGGGCTCGCGCTCCGCCGCCGGCTTCCTAAGGTGCCGCGGGGGAAGCGTTTCCCACGGGCGGGCACTCTGGCCGCGGTGACCTCAGAATCTCAGATTCCTCTCGGGGCCCTTCCTCCCGCACGCTTCTGGTCCAGACGCTCGGAGTTTCGTGTCAAGTCCCGGGTGCGTTTTCACTTGTTCCAGCTCTCACAGAGGGGACCGTCCCCTCTGGTGCCCTGCATAGCTCCCCCCGCCCCGTCCTGGCCACTCTCCGTCTGTTCTGTCCCCGACGGGCATGGCCGCATGGTGCCCACCACGACCCTGATGTCAGCTCCCACCGCGCGTGACCCGCTTCCGAGCGACACGTCACGTGCTCTGCTGAGTTCTGATCGCCCGACCCTCGAACCGTTGTTTCCGACCGACGTGCGGTGTTGGGGACAAGTCGGCAAGGGAGGAGGCAGGGAGGGGACGGGCGGCCCCGCGTCCACTCACGCTCCCCTCTCTCGTAGGCATCACCACCGTCCTGACCATGACGACCATCAACACGCACCTGCGGGAGACGCTGCCCAAAATCCCCTACGTCAAAGCCATCGACATGTACCTCATGGGCTGCTTCGTCTTCGTGTTCCTGGCCCTGCTGGAGTACGCCTTCGTCAACTACATCTTCTTCGGGAGAGGCCCTCAGCGGCAGAAGAAGCTGGCGGAAAAGACGGCCAAGTCCAAGAACGACCGAGCGAAGAGCGAAAGCAACCGGGTAGGCCTCCCCCGTGCCACCCCCATGCCACCCGCGGTCCCCAGCCTGCCCCCGAGGCTCCTCAGTCGCCGGCTTCTTGCGTGACCCCTCGGCAGGCGCCGTGCGGGCTCGTGGGCCGCAGCCCGAAATGCGGCCTCGTGTGAGTCACTGAACTTTACGCAAAACCAGAGTCACAGCAGAAGGTGCAGAGGCCACGAGCTCCCAGTTTCCCGGAAAAGAACAAACCACGTAGAGAGTGGAATGCGTGGGACCCCGGGGGGCGCGAGGTCCGAGCTCATTCACGGGGGACAGCGTTTTCCCAGAAGGCCGCGACGTCCCTTGAGTGGGGAGATGACGAATGCGATGGGCCAGCACGGTGCTGTCCTTTGCACGGCGTGGCAGACCCCTGTCTTGTCCCCTCCCCCCCCATAGCAGGCACAGTCCCCTGGCTCCAGTGGAAAGCCGGGGCCAGGCAGGCTGACCGGCCGAGGCCGAGGACGGTGAGGGCTCCTTGAAAGAAGTCGCTGGGCCACACACTCGGAGAAAGGGCGGGGAGCAGACCCCGGCCCGCCCCAGCTCCGCCCGGCGCGCTTCCAGCCGCATAGGAGGTTTGCGGTTGGGTGTCATTTCGGCTCATGCGTCGTTGCCAGTGTAGACGCGTTTGGTGGGGGCGCCGCCGCTTCTGCATAATCTCCACCTTCCTCCCCCACGTCTCGCACCCCGTCAGGGCCCCGGAGATGTGTTTCCGCCCGTCCCCGGCTGGCGGCCTTGCTCCTCATCCCTCATCTTTGAATCCTTCTTGCTAAACGTTACTCGTTTCTCCAGCCCCCAAGCAGTGTCCTTGCCATTTTCCGGGCGCTCGGTGTCCCCCTGGTCCCTGCCTCCTCCGGGGTCCTGCCGTGGGTCGTCCGTGACCTACCCGTGGACCGAACTAGGTCCATAAGCACCGCGAACGAACGGAGCCACGTTACGCGGGTGTGAATGACTCTCGTCCTCCAGCAGAACACGGGCAGGACCGGTCAGAGCCACGCCGGACCCGGGCACGAACCCGACTTCCGCAGGCGAACTCGTCACGCAGTCCCCGCCGAAGGCGTGCGTGGCGCCATGCCGTCACGCCCCTGAGTGAGTCCGCAGCCCGCCGGGGGCACGCGCTCTGCTCTCGTCACGCCGTCTGCGGGGAGAGTGGCCTTGGTCACAGCGTCACTGTCCGTAGCAGGCACCGGCACGCCGGCACGCACGGAGCCGTGGTTCCACGTTCCCTCCTAACTTAGGTGACAAACTCCCTCCCTTTCTCCTAAACGAGATGGTTCAGAACGGTCGAACCGTCGTGCCAAAGAAGCAGCCTCTAGACCGTGAAGCGAAGAATTCAAAACACAAGCAGAAACACCGCGACCTCTAAGATCCACAGAGAAAGCGAGCGGAATGGAGGAAGAAGTTACAAATCAGATGCGGCGAAACAGGCCCCCCGTTCCTTCACGCGTCCGTTCGCATCGTTTGCTTTCCTGAGACTGTGTTTCCCAGCAGTCTGCCGAAGCCCGCGCACACGCACACGCAATCGTGGCCCGCCTGCTACGGTCTGAAGTTGACACGCACACGCGCGTGTCATAGTTTTAATGCGCATTTGACGCTTTTAAAGATACACATTGTAAATTGTTGCCGCCTACACCTGAGGATTCAGGATGATTTTAAAGCAGAAAGGAACGTCCCCAGAAGTTCCTGTCACAGGCCGTGGATGGGATCGAGGAGAACGAGAAGATGATGGCAGAAGAAGATCATGCAAGACAGACGGGCCCGCCTGCGGCTTCGCGGGTTCCTCGTGGCTTAATCGTCGTCATTGGGTTTCGGCCCAGACAGCGACAGGTTTTCCTGTCTCCCGTGGCCGCGCGTGTTCTGACTCGGCGATCGAGTCACAGCGCCCGCCCGGGCACGTGCTCACGAGCTCCTCCGCCGACCGGGCTGCGGGAGGTTCTGCCCGTGCGAACCTCCACGTCCTCCTGGGTCGCATCTGCACCCAACCCCTGGCCTTCGGTTGCAGGGCCTGTGTGACGGTCACGGGCCTCGTGACATTTTGGGGTTTGAAGTTCGTCGAATGACAAAAAGTCATGATTCTTGCCCAAGAACCGGACGTGCGAGCTTGACGTCACGGCTCTTACCAGGACTTAGCTCTCCTCCCCCGAATGACAAACGCCTTCTTATGGTTTCTGAAACCAGAGTATTGTGCTTACGTAGACGCCTGACGGTGCGTCGAAAAGGAGACCTCTAGTGACAGCCCGGTGACCCAGTTCAGGGGAAACGACATCTCCGTGGTGTCCGTCGGCGCGATGCTCTTCGTCTTCACGCGATCGCACCTGTCAAGGGTACAGAGCAGCAAGAAGAACGACGCCGAAATCGGAGACTCTCCTCGCAGGGGGAGCGACACGCGGCCGCCAGAGGAGGCGTGTCCGCGAAGCGCTTCGAGGATCACGCGTCGTCGCCGTCACGCGAGACGGGCGCGCCGCCCCGGTGGCACACCCGTGGTCACGCCTGTTTATTTTGAGATTTAGGCTCTCGGTGCGACATACGCACGGCCACGTGGCCCCGCGTGCCCGGGGAGGCTGGGCCCGGGCGGGGGTGGGATGAGGGGCTCTCCCCGGCCCCCCGCCCACCGTTCGCACTGCGGAGACGCACAGATGGCCGCGCCGGATCCCACGTGCTGGGCGGCAGCCACAGGAATTGCTGGTGGTGTCATGAAGGGAACAGAAGCCGAGGCCGTCGTCCCGAACCCGCCCTTCTCTCTTCGTCCTGCAGCCCGGATCGTGTTTCGGGCGTCGGTGACGCTCCTGCCCGGAAGTCGCTGTGACTTCTCCCTCCCGGGAGCGTGGAGTAGGTTCCCCAATGGCGCACGCAGACCCTTAGCGGCGACGCTAACACGCGCTTCCGTTCTCCGCCTGGCGTGGTGCCTGTTGCGATAGGACGACATGCAGGTGACAGTGAGTGACGAGCTGAGCAGGTGCCGGTGACCGGGTACTCGGATCCGTTCTCGCAGGGACTGGAGTCCCACCCAGCGAGACTGCGTCTCTCACCCCACGACTCGGCCTGTGATGTTTTCCCTGCCCGTCGCCTGGAAGGTTTCCAGCCCTTCTCTGAGGCCCGGCTGAAACGCGTTTCACTCTGCAATCGTCCCTCTTCCGTCCTGGTCGTCGGGGTCTGTGATTGAACTGGGCCCAGCGGGGAGTCTGGGGCGGTGTCCATGTCTGAGACCCGTCGCCTCCCTTACATTTGCATGGACGTTCCTCTTGCATGGAAGGCGACATCCTGGAGCAAAGTGGGACATCCTGGTGACCACACCGCTCCTTCCCCAGGCTTAGTTAAGTGACCTTGGCATCTCGGAGTTTCTCCTGGTGCCTTTAGTGCCAGAGGCTGCGTGGCCCGTGGGTGTTTGAGGTCCTCGCTGAGTCTGGGCCACCTGGTGTCCAGGGCCACCCTGCAGCGTCCTGGCAGCGCTCAGGGACCAACGCAGGCTCCAGGGTCCCCACGCACCTCCCGCACGTCTAGCCCAACGCCTTTGCTAACCGTGAAGAGTATGCAGAGGACGGCGAGGTTCACATTCCCGTAACAATAAATTATCCCCCCACGAAACAAATAATGGTGTGAAAGCTTCGTGGAGGAAGCCGTAGGCCAAGGGACGGAGAACAGTGAGCGCCCAGGGGACAGAGTGGCCCCCGCAAGAGGGATGGCCCCGCTCCAGGAGAAGAGGTGGCAGCCGCAGCCCGCGACGGGGCTGCTCAAAGGACGGCGAGGTTCACGTTCCTGTAACAATAAATTATCCCCCCACGAAACAAATAATGGTGTGAAAGCTTCGTGGAGGAAGCCGTAGGCCAAGGGACGGAGAACAGTGAGCACCCAGGGGACAGAGTGGCCCCCGCAAGAGGGATGGCCCCGCTCCAGGAGAAGAGGTGGCAGCCGCAGCCCGCGACGGGGCTGCCCCGGGGCCGGAGCCTCAGCCGCGCCCTGCCGGAAGCCCGGGGAGGGCCGCGAGGCTGTGTCCGCGCAGAACGGGATGTTTTCGTTTTCAGATGTGGCTCAGATGCGGACAGGGACGTCAGGTTACCTTAAACGTGGCCCACAAAGGTGGGGCTCCTGCCGGGCCCAGGCGCGGTTAGTGGGTGCGGTGGGTGCCGGGTGGGGGCGCGGGTCCACCCGGCCGACGTCGTCTGAGGAGGACCCCCTCATCGTCCGCCGTAAGCTGGGTATTTTCACCCCGAAGAGAGCGGGAGGCTGGGTTCTGTCCAGTCCCCGCTGTGAAGGACAGTTGTCACACCCGAGTTCGCATCTCGAAAGGCGCTTGTACGGACTCGCATATGCAGCGTGAAATGGCAACTTGAACAGCCCCCTCCGACTTATCCTGCCTGATGGCGCACGTCAGGATTTTGTAAATCGAGGAACTAAAATCTCTAAGCTGCGGTTGAGCCTCCAAAGTGACATCGCCCCGCAGCGGAGCGCGGGGGTTGGCGGGTGTGCGGGTTCTCCCAGCGAGCGTGGCGCGTCCCGTGTCCGCCCGCAGGGGTCGGAGCCACCAGCGGGCTAACGATGCGCTTTCTCTCCCGCGCAGGTGGACGCTCACGGGAACATCCTGTTGACGTCCCTGGAGGTCCACAACGAGATGAACGAGGTGGCGGGCGCCGTCGGGGACACCAGGAATTCAGCAATATCCTTCGACAACTCAGGAATCCAGTACAGGAAGCAGGCCGTGTCCCGGGAAGGGCGCCACACGGGGGACCGGGGCCTCCCGCACAAGAAGACCCAGCTCCGGAGACGGTCTTCGCAGCTCAGAATCAAAATCCCCGACCTGACTGACGTGAACGCCATAGACAGGTGGTCCCGGGTGGTGTTCCCGCTCACCTTCTCGCTGTTCAACCTGGTGTACTGGCTGTACTACGTGAACTGAGGGACCGTCGTGGTTCGCAAAGACTTCCTGTCACCCGAGTAAGACACTGCTCTGCCCGTCAAGGTTTTATACCTGCGCACACACAGAGAGACACACGCACACGCGCGCAGACACACACAGACACACAGACAACACGCGGACACACACACACACAGACACAGACACGCAACACGCAGACACACGCAGACACACACACAACACACAGACACACACGCAGACACACAAACACACACAAACACACAGACACACATACAACACGCAGACACACAGACACACAGACACAGACACACACACAACACGCAGACACACGCAGGCACACACAGACAGACACACATACAACACAGACACACAGACACACACATAACAAACACAACACGCAGACACACAACACACAGAGACACGCACACACACACACATACACAACTGTATATATATGTGGACTTTCTCAGCATATATATAAAACACACGTGTCTATGAGGATGTCTGTGTATATGTTTATACACACAGGTGTCAGTGCCCACGTGTATTGAAAACAAATACACACACATACATACATTTTGCAGCTATGGACAAATTTAACACAGGACGCGTATTAAAGAAAGTCATAGTTTTTTCTTTTTTAATTGAAAGGGACAAGCACTGTCTACAGATTCTGCCTTGAGAAGGAGGGCGTGAAACACAACATCATCCCAAAACGTGTCTTTTACTGTCATGAGTTAGATGTTTTAGTTCAAACACCAGAAAGACACTCTCCCCAACATGCCGCTAGCTCGGAGCGAGTCGCACCCCCACGCCCCGTCCTTCGGTTCCCCGGGCGATGGCCTTCGGCCCTTTCGGCGACGGTCGGTGGGTGGGGCGGGTGGGCGCTCACCGCCGTCTCAGACGCGGCAGGCACCAGGTCGACACCTGCACGTGCGTCTTACGAAAACCCGTCGGCGCCGATGGCATCGCGGGGGAGCGCTCCGACCCGCCGCGTGCTTTCCGTCTGTCTGCGGGGCGGAGCCGTGGGCCTGTCCCGTGGGAGCCCGGCGGCGGGGAGCCCGGTGGCAGGGGGCTCGGCGGCGAGGCGCAGGTGACATTTCAAGCCCCAGAAGCGAGCTCCGCGTCTCACACGCTT